TAAAAAATTTGTTTATTTATTTATTGTTAATTAATTGTTTTATTACTTTTAGGTGTACAAAGCAACATAATAGTTAGACATTTAAATGCCTCGTAAAGTGATAACTCCTCCCCAAATCTACTACCCCTCTGGCATCTTATATAGTTGTCATAATACCATCGAATATCTTCCCTATGTTGTACTCCACACCCCGTGACTATATATACCTATATACAGTAAAATCTTGAGTTGCAACTACCTTCTTTTGCAAGTGTTCCGCAAGACGAGCAAACATTTCTAATACATTTTAAAGTGGTAAACGAGTGATGTCTTGCAATACGAGTAGTTTGTTTCTGGAACGAATTATGCTCGCAAACCAAGGCATTACTGTATTTAGTTATAGTTGACATTCAATATTATTCTACTTCAGCTCTTCAGGGGTATAGTGCATTGGTCAGGCATCTACTCAACCTATGACGTGATCTCCTTGATAAGTCCAGTGCCCATCTGGCACCTTATCTGATCTTTACAACATTGTTGATTATCAAATTTCCCCTTTTTATAAGGACACCAGCTATATTGGATTAGGGCCCACCCTAATGACCTCATTTTAACTTGATTATCTCCGTAAAAACCCTACTTCCAGATGAGGTCACATTCTGAGGGAGTGGGGGTTAGGGCTTTGACCTATCTACTTTTGGGGAAGGGGACACAATTCAACCCATAACAGGTGCTTTACATATATTCGTTTTCCCTCCTCGTCAAAGTTTCTTATCAAATAAAATTAAATACCCTGCTTAGTACCTGGAACAGAGCAGGCCGTCAATCAATACTTGTTGAGTAAATGCATGGGTGGGTCCTAGGTTCCATAGTGTTCTGAATTCTTCAGAGAGTTTTCTACTGACGCCCAAATCATCCCCCTTTAAAAAAAGTAATTTCAAGGTCCTCTGACAAGAATATAAAATGCATAAGAATAGCTCCAGGCAGGTTCACGAGCTGGGGTCTGCTTTCCCTTGAATGTGCTCGATGCTGTGCCCATCGCCTGAGCAATTGCAGGAACATCCTTCATTCCTGGAAATGCTTTCCTTTGCCACAAATAATTGATTGTTCCAGCAAAGCCTGAAAAACTTCCTCCAGTCATTTGAAAAGAGGTTCCCATAATGACCGGGGCTGGAAGGTGAGATGAGAACATGGCGGTGGATAATGGGACAGGTGTGCTCCCACAACCCTCTGCCCCAGACACTCGCGCTCAACCAGGAAGCTGTAACCAAATGGTGGAATGCCACCTCTTCTTAATTCTTCACCCTTTTGGCCAGGGTGGGGGCCACATACCTGGAATGCTTACGATGAGCCCGGAGTGTTCCATGTGACACAGCAAAGGGACTGAAAGTCCACACTCTGGATTGGACTTCTACGGTCTCCCCTTGGCCCCACCACTGTGTGATCTGGTGCGAGTCACTTAACCTCTCTATGCCTCAGCATCCCTGTTGGTAATTTGGGGGTAATAATAGTACCTACCTCATAATATACGTAATAACGTATGTAAATAAACTTTGCACAGTGCATTCAAATCATGTTAACAATTATTGTTTTATTATATTGTTGCTGAGGACACTGCTGATGCTCAGGCTGATAATGGGGTTGGTGAATCCTAGTAGCCAGGTTTTAATAAACTTCCTTATCAATAAGAGAATAAAATGAGTCTGTTCTCATCATTCCTGTTAGGGCTTTCTAGAGTGCAACCCTCTCTCTCGCTCTCTCTCTCTCTCTCTCTCTCTCTCTCTCTCCTTGACTTCTCATGTCCTGGCCTTATCTCCTTATGATCCCCAGTGCTCAGCCATGGATTACTTCACTAATTCCCCCAGCAGCCCTATAAAATACAGATTATAAGCTGTTTCAAGGAACCTGAGACTCAGAGAGGTGAGGCGACTTGTAAGTGCTGAAGCCAGAATCCAAGCCAGGTATAACTCACTCCAAGGTCATATTTTAGGGAGACGGGTCTGATGGAGATGAAATTTGGCCTCCTCCTGCAATTCCTCTCCACCCTTAGGCCCTCCCCATAGGGCATAAGTACAAAGACCTTCACTAGATTGGCCTGTCCTGGACAGTGCTCCTATTCTGGACTGCCTTCTACACCCCATCATCAAGGCCAGCCCCCTGCTCGCTATTCATCTAAGGGGGTCAATGATTGATGATAAAGGCAGCCCATTAGGACACAGGATTCTCTTCCAGGGGCAGTTTGAATCATCATGGAGACCCTGAGAGCTGTGGGAATGTCCTCCCCCACTTTACAGATAGGCAGACTAAGGCTCAGAGAAGTTCTGTGAATTTTACGGGTTATACACTAGGCCAGAGCTTAGCTTTGAGCCTTGGCCTGCCTCCCTGGGTTCTTCCACTCACATTCCCTTGCAACACTGCTTGTTTCCTCTGCCCCCGTCCAGGGCAGCCTGGGCTGATTTTGGCTTCTGGTGCCCTCTGTCCCCATCCTGCCAGGGGCCAGAAGGTGGCTGGGACAAGCTGGGCTTCAAGGGGAATGGTGACAGCAGTGTCAGGACATCTTTGCCTAGAGGGATGGAGGACATACTGGTTGGGGACCATGTGCCAATATAGCTCCCATCAGGGGAGGCTGGGACTGAGGAGTAAAAGTCTGCAGGAAAGCCATCCCATTTTTATCACTCTCTTTTCTTTGTCTTTAGCATCGGCAACAGCTTCCGGAATTCTCTGGCCTCCCTGAGTACCTGACCACTGGAGGTTAGTTTCCTGTTCTGCTTCGCAAGCCCACAAGTGACAACTGGCTTCTTGGTTGTTTTGGAAAGGCACACAAAGGGCGCAGCATCACAGAGCAGAAACAGCCCTGGATGAATGTCCCAGGGAGCTCTGAAAGAGGCTGGCTGTGCAGTCTAAGGCAGATGAATTTACCTCTCTGATCCTCAGGCTCCTCATCAACCTGATCGCTATTGCATAGGCTGTTATGAAGATTCAGCTGGATGATGCATATAAAGCAGGTTTGCAGGGCTTGGCCCCTAGTGAGCTCAATAAACATGCACCCACCATTATTATGGTAGAAATGGTGATGTCATGAACAACTGAAATCTTGGTGAAGCTTTTCTTCTTGGTGGAGGGTCCAAGAACTGGATGGAATGGGAGTGGGGAATGGGGAGAGAACGTTCTTTCCCTATCCTGCTGGCGACCATCCCCAAATGCCCATGCCCAAGGCCAGCTCAGGAAATGCCAAACAGTTCTTGTCATTTACTCATCCTGGGGAGACAGGGTGTCCTTCTGGTCCACTTGGCCTTGACTTAGCGTGGGCACGCATTCACCCACCCACACACTCACACACTCTCAGCACCCAGACTCAGTAAGACCAATAGCATGGGTGTCACAGAGTCACCCTGGAAGGACCTGGTAAGAAAGAAAGGGAAGCACCCAGATTTCAAGAGCAGCGAATTGCATCCACACTTACATTTTGACTTTTCTTTGTGTGAGGCCACGGGGCATGTGACCCGTGTTTATTGTTCGAGGGCCCAACAGTGCCCTCAACTCGTGGGCTTCAGGGGTCTTAGGAATCATTCAGTCCTACTGGCTCATTTTGGGGAAAATGAAGCTCAAGACCTTGTTCAGCAGCACATAACCACAAGGTCATGGTCAAGTCTCTGTGCTCCGGTGGCAGAGTTCTCTCATCCCCCCCTGACAAAATGTAAAGTACCTTAAAAAAGTCTCCAACCTGCAGCTGTCATCCTACCAGGAGGAAAGGGATCAGGGAAGGACAATGGATTGTGCTCAGTGAGCCCACTGAGGTTTCAAGTCTGCTTTCCAATTATGGGGCATTTGGAAGGAAATAACATGTCATCTCCTGGAACCCTCCACTCCCCTGCACCCTACGGGTCTCCCTGGCTGAGGCCTGACCTGGGTGACCATAGACAGTCATCCCTGCCAGCAGAAGCCTCCTCTATGTTACAGAGCAGAAATAGTCGAGAAAAGACACAAAAGCCTCTCAGATGACTGCAACTCTCAGAGCAAGGTGGGAAAGGTGGGGTTATTGGAAAAGACCGTTGCGTTTATGGGGCCTCTTATCTATGACAAAAGCTCAAGTGGGAATCAAGATGCAGTAATAAAGAAAGCAGCAGCCATAAGTTTTGACTCTGGAGTGTGGGACTGTGCATCGCATGGACAGCTGGGCCTGCTGTGGGGGGTGTGGGGATGGCACAGGGGAGCCTTTATCACTCTGAGATTCTCTGTCAAGTCAGGGCCTGATGACAGGGACATCCTGATGGGGGTGCTGGAGAAATTCCCAGACCCGCCTGCATCCCTCCACCCCTCCCCAGCTCTGCCAACTAAATGTGGGCGCTCCCCGGCTGCATCAGAAGTACCACTCCCCTACGCAAGTTCTTTCCTTCCATTCCTGGGGGGGAGGGGTGACTCAATGGGAGACCCAAGCCACCAGGACCTTTGGCAAGGTGCAACGGGCCCTATATGGGCAGTAAAGGAGGGAACACAGGAGGCGTTCCTGTGGGCTCCGACTTCCTAGGAAGGAAAATGTGTAAGAGGCAGAATATGAACAAACTGCTCCAAACATACACACACACACACACACACACACACACACACACACACACACCCCAAACCAAAACCAAGCAAGAAAAGAAAACCAGCTACATAAATTGAAAAAAAAAAAAAAAAGGAGTTGTGGTTCTATTTGTTCTTCAATATTGTTACTATTGCAATACTTTCATCAAGGTATAGAGAGAAACACCAGGAGCACTGGAATAAGAGGAACAGGAACCCCCCTGCCTTGTATCTATCGTTCAAGTCATTTGTGCCTTATCCTCACTCCAAATAGGTTTGCTGTGCTGCACCCCGGACAGGCATGGGCCTATCGTCCAAGCACATGGTTCTTGACCCAAGACAGTCATTCTGGCTTTGGCTTGGCAAGTCTGGTTGGTCTTTCATCTCCCAATGGCGCCAGCCTAATGCCCTTACCCTGTTCACTGTGAGAGTAGCCGGCCCTGGCAGGGGTGCACTCAGGCAACAGAAGAGATCTCGCTGTGTTTCTGCTCTCTGCAGAAGGGAGTCCTGGGGGAGGGCCAGCAGCCTCCTTGGCTGCTGGAGTGACAGCAGAAGAGGGTGGCCATCAGCAAGGCCAGGGCAATGATGACGGTGAGTGTCCACTGGATGATGCTGGGGTAGATGAAGGGCAGGATGAGGATGATGAGCAAAACCAGTAGGAGCAGGTGAGCCACCAGGCGCCGGGCTGCCACGCGGTTGGCGCTTGCCACATCCTGCCCATCCTCGCCTGCCAAGCCAGGGTGCCCTGCTGTCAGGGCGGCAGGATTCACTAGCCCCTGGGGACAGAGCCGTACCTCTGAGCATTGCCAAGCTAGCCGCCCCACCACGGCCTCCTGGTCACGCAGGCTGCAGATGAGGCCCCCGGGGACGGTGGTGGCCTTGCGGCACAGTGGGCAGGTGACGGACCAGGTGTCATCCTGCACACACAGCAGAAGCTTCAGGCAGACAGCACAGAAGGAGTGCTGGCAGCCCAGCAGCTTAGGAAGTCGGGCACAGCTGTAGGGTTCCCGGCACACCAGGCACTCCAGGTCACGATCCGTGGACCCACGATGACCCCCGACAAGGACGGCAGCGTTGGTGGTGGTGGCTCCTGCAGAGATGGGCTGCAGCTGCTGTGGTGCTGGCTGCTGTGGGACCTCAGTGCAGGCCATTCTGGACATAGAAGCCAGTGGGACGTGGCAGCTCAGGGCCTGGGCATGGACAAAGAGAGTCAGTCAGCTGGTGCCGCTGGGACCTGGATGTAGTCTGGGTGTATGAAGCCTCCTTTACCTTCTTGTCAGGTGCGTGGTGACGATGACCAACCATCTGGCACCACACTCCCAGGGCCACTCAGCTTGTTTCTGGACTTGTATTGTCCCTTCAGGTATTATTATTATTTCTTTCCTAGAAACCTAGGGTTAATCAGTAACTTGCAGGCCTGGAGACTTTGAATTACCTGATAGAAGGGCCAAAGTGGGCAGGGCCTACGAGTGAATTAGGACTTTCCTGTTGGAGCCAGGTGACTCATGGTTGCTTGCAGGACCGTGGCTTGTGAGCTTTGGGTTGCATTAGAATTCCCACCACCCCCGGGGACTTTTAAAATGCAGCTCTCTGGGCCCCAAACCCAGAGGCTGAGATTCAGCAGGTTTGGATGGGATCTAAGAATCTGCACAGTTAACAGACATTGTCATGACTTTAACACAGGTGGACTGGGAAACACCACTTTGAGAGACATCACTATGGGGAAGGGGGGGTCTCAGACAAAACCTTTTGGATGTCATGATCAGTGGGAAAAAAAAGTTTGTGCTTTGAGCACATTTGCAAGCAGGTGGCCTCGTGAAGAAGAGAGAAGTGATAGGAAAGTATTCTGAGTAGTGGGGGCAGGAAAGCCCAGCCAAATGCAGAAAACCCCCCAAAACAGCCCACAAGTAATTAGCACCTGCTAGGGCAGTAGGTTCCTCTAAAGTCACTACAGTTGTTTAACAGTTAACTGATTCTCAAGCATCTCATCTGTACCCTGCCATGCGCTTCATATACCGTGCTAGGCACACCACACACCCAATAGTAAGGAAGACAGCTGCCATGTACTTGGCCTATTCTGAGGAAGCCCCGTGCCAGGGGTCCGAGCTGCGGTCTCCTGGAATCCTGGCACAGCGCTATAAAGAAGGTACCAGAGGCCTAAAAGCCAAGGGAGGGTGTGGTCAGGGCAGACCAGCTGGCTGCCGGCCAAGGGGCTTTCCTTGGGGCAGGAGCTTGTGGAATCTACCAGCGTCCAAGGTCGGGTTCCCAGCTTCATGGGTCCAGGAACTCAACCTGGTCAGTTCGTTGGAGTCAATTGGCTTCCAGAAAGCTGACTCAAGCTAACAGGACTCATGTGGGACTGACAGATATAAGCAGCATGGCCGTTAAGAAAACGTGATCCCTTTACCTTGGCCTGAACGTCAGAAGGCGGGCTGGCACAGTCCACGCCCTCACACAGTTGCCTCCCTTAGACCACGACAAATCCGAAAGGACGTGCAGAGCAATCCTACTCATGTCACCTGTCGAGATCCACACAGAGTCCAGCTCTTCTGGTCCAAAGCCTTCCCTGACCCCAGGGGGCAGGCAATGCCTTCTCGCTTCACCCTCCCCTGGGTTCCTCTGTCTCTGAAATCTAACACCCCACCCCTACCCCGGCCGTTGCCTCTCTTCTCCTCAAGCCTTCTGCTTGACTATCAGTTCTTTCTTTCCGTTCTGTTCCCCCCAGATCAAGCTGAAGGGGGTCTCAGATCTAGTGGTGGACATCTGTTTTACCCCCATCCCAAGTATCCATTTTTCTTTCTATAGTGGCTTGTTTTCCCTTTGGGTAACCACTGCTCCTCACTGTTACCCTGTGTGGTACCCAGCTCTGGGGAAGGGGAAGTGATGTGGTTCAGGAAAGACCAACGAGCGTGTTCCACTCCACTGGCTGCCACAGTTGATTCCGACATAGGCATGTGAGCTAAGCCAAGTCGTTGATATTCAATTCTGGGATTTGTGTTGGAACTACTGAGAAATTTCTCCAATTGTATGGTTTCCAAACTAGAAGATGGAACTCTGGAGCTGCCTGGGCCACTGTGTGCAAAGAACTTGCCTAAGAGTAGAGTCAGCACAAAAGAAAGATAAGAGTCAGAAAAAACCTGATGACATTGTTTGAATGCCTGGGTCCAGCCATGCCTGAAGCCAGAGCTCTAGCTTTGGCTTTTTAAATTATATGGACGTGTAAAATCTGGCCCGGTTTTCACTATTAAGCCAGCACGAGTTGGATTTCTGTCGCTTGCAAGGGAAATAGTAACACAGCAATAGATGAAGAAGCCTTTACTTGCTGTCTGACACAGCAAGTCATCGAGCAGCCGGCCTGTACATGGCTGAGTGTGTCCTAATGCCTGTGTGTCACTATGCGAAGAGACTCTGTTTCTTTCCTCCGTGTTGACTTGCATATATAATGCTCCTTTCTGTTTGCTAAACCCTAGGAAGGGTTGAGGATAGGAGGCGGGAAAAGTTTGTTGAGCTGCATTCATTTACAACGAGAAATCGTAATTCAGGTGGACAGCACAGTGATGTCAGCTTGGCCAGTGCTGCCTCTCTCAGAGAGCCAGATTTACGGGAAAGCCCCATAATCAAGAAGGGAGCTGGTGGGGTGACCAGTTAGCTCAGTTGGTTGGAGCGTGGTGCTGATAACACCAAGGTTGCTGGTTCGATTCCCGCAGCTAGGTGAGGTTGAAATCAGACCAAGGGCAGTTATTTGGGCTGAGTGTCTAAAGAATAACTTTTTGATGTTGTTGGGTGACCACCACGAAGAAAAATATATTGGTTGTAACCACCCAATGTTACAGAAGTGTATAACGTAGAATGTGAAAGTTCCTCTGACAAAGTTCCACTCCCTGAGAAATGAATGGTTTTTGACAGCATGTTCCTTCACGTTGCTGCCATCCCACCTATCATCTTGGCTTGGGGACCACGTTGTTTCTGAAAGGCACCTCTATTTAACGATCATCTGCACTGGCTTTATAGTTAGAAGTCCAGCTCCTGCCACTTTACTAGTTGGGTGACCTTAGGCAAGTCATTTCCACTTCATTGAGGCTCAGTTTTTTTCATTTGCTAAAATGAAGACAATAACATGATAGGAAATTATGGGAGCTTACTTGAGCCCCCACCTCCATCCACACCTGCTCAGGGGAGACTCAGTACTTTATGCACCTTGCTTTGGGACTGATGTAATCGATCCCTTCCAGGGACACAGAGATAAACCCCTTTGGTGATTCTTTCAACCGGCGCTTCTTAAAGAGAGCTATGTGGGCAGGATCGGGGGTGTAGCCAGAAGCAGGTCTATCCCAGGGCAAGTACAAAGTGTCTCTCCAGCCTTAAAATGTTAAATTCATCAGGTTTCCCATTCTGCTCTGTGTTATATTTGTACTTGCTGTAATAGTAGAATTGGAAGACTTAGAGTCTTTCCAAAACTCCAAATAAAGCACAATTGTTTTTTTTTAATTGCAGTACAAATAGGAACTCATTCATTCTCAGTAAAAACCTAATTTTTTCCCCCCTCACAATGCTGTTTCTTCCTTCCTGTGACTTCAAATACCCCAGGGGTTATAAGGAGTTTGAGAAGCACAGCCTCTGTGGGGTTAGAATTTCACACCCAGCTGCAAGTGGAGGAACCAGAGCTGGTTCTCTTGAGATGGACCGCCTTGGTAACCACAGACCCATGCCCTACAAGACATGTCTGATCTGAGTTTTAGGCCCTGTATCAAGTTCATTGGGAAAGGGATGAGGGAGCAGCGACGTCATGAGGTCAAACGGTCAGATCCTTGCCTGGCCTCTGATCTTGGCTGACCCATCCTCTACTCCACACTCCTCTGGCCTCAGAGAGCTGTGTCACAGCCAAACGCCCCATCACCCTGGTTCCTCTCTTTCCCTGGGGCTGGCAGGTGTCCTAGCTGACACTCTTATTCCGGAATTCCTGCTTCTGTGCTCCTCAGAACCCAGCTGGCAACACCTCCATCCCCCTCCAAGCATCTGTGTGTCTGAGGACGGATTGGTAGGGGAGATGGGGAAGGGGATTTGGAACCAAAATGACAACAGGATAAGATCAAGTGTGGAGAGGGGGAGATGATGCAAAAGAGAACGTGAGTGCCTCAGGCACCAACCGCGGGAAGTTGGAAACTGCACTTGGTTTTCTTTTTCTGAATAATTATGTAAAAAAAACCCATGATTATTGTAAAACAAGAAAAAAAGGAATTACTGATGAACATGAAAAAAAAAAGAGTAATCAGCAATCTCAGAGCCCACAGAGTGTCAGTTCTAATTTTGATATGCCTCTTTAGACGCCTTTCTGTGCATACTTCCATAAAAAAGTTTTCTTCCGTTAAAATGGGATCCTGCTATTTATATTTTGGCAACATGTATTTTCACTTAGTAGTTCATCATACATCTCTTTCACATATTAATAAATACACTTCAGATCATTCATGAAGGTATTTCGTGTGGCATTTTGTTATATGAATGTGCCATATGTTAGTTAATCAGTTCCCACACGTGGCATGTTGAGGTGTTTTTCCATTTTCCACTGTTATTAAGTCCTCAGATGAGCACCCTTGGATGTATGCTTTTCATATCTTGCCCTTTCAAAGCTGCAATCCATACGTTATCTTCTTGAGCTGCCTTTTTGGCTGAAGAGCATCTGGCGGTTCAGGTCCCAAACCTGGATCTATGCTGAGTTGTCTAGGAACCTGATTTAAGCCATGAAGGTTGGAACTATTGGCTGATGACCAACAGATGAAACCACGTTTGTCCGACTCAGAATTATCGAAGTGCATTTACTCCTGAGCTTAGAGAAACCAGATAACGAGTCCCAAAGGCCACATTTTTTTTTTGAATTTGGAATGATTCTAGGGTCCTGACCCATTTTCCGCTGCCACCTCTAACCTGCCTTTCCTGTCCCCTCCCTCTCCTCCTCCCCACCTCTCTGGCTAGCTCTAGTTCAGATTTCCACTTGGAACTCTTCCTTGATCTACTTATGACGATTTACTGGGACACATATAGCATGTCTTTGAGACTCTATTCCCTTAACTGCTCCTTCAACTCCATGCAGCTAAGCCAGTGGACAGAGGGAACTCCACCTTTGCACCTGGCCCAGGCCCTCAGAGGAGCACACCTGGCCCCC